CCACGCTTGTAGATTTCCGGGTTCGGACCCGAGCACCCAAAGATGCGGCTGCCGGAGAAGAGGCTCAATTCAGCGTAAAGCCGGGCTGCCTCCTTATCGTGGATTAGGGGCGACTGCAGGATGAGGCCCTCTTTACGCCAGTGCGGCACCAGATGCGGCACACTGTGGTACCGGGAGGTCTGACGCACCTTACTGGCTGAGGGATGGTCCGGCGCGTAGTCGGTGCCTGCCCCGCCAACGGTGTAGTAGGGCAGTGGGTCGGCTTCTTCTCGTTTCACGTACCCAGTAGGGTAGACCTTAGGCGGATTGTGCACTCTGACAAAGGCTTCCTGGTCTTTTGCGGAGTCCTCCAGGGGCTCAGTGTTTGGCTGGCTTTAGTTGGCAGAATGAAGACACGGATAGATGTGGGTAACTTAAACTTTGAATCGGTTTCCGACAAGTTATTTCAAACGTTAAACAAATCACTGCCGGTAAGGGCACGTTTACCGATTCATTATCAGGAGTGCACCGTTTATATCAAAATGGGGCAAGAGTGATACATGGAGAGGGTAGAAGGTCTTTAGTGTTTTGACCTAGCCTGGTACTTAGAATTCGCACGGAGAATTTACTTGTTTGACCGTTGCCTCAAAAACTAACAATGGAGAGAAAAAATACGCTTGACCACGCGAATATGTAATCAAAATCCTCTCTCGTTTAAAACCTGCGTGCTTTAATAGCTTCCCCTCCTGTTTGTCTATATTCCATTCAATGCGCTTCAATATAATTAATAGAAAAGCTTAGAATATTGAGCTAGCGAGTTATCTGTGACCGCAGCCGATGCGGAACGCTGCCGAGCGTATGTTCATGTCATGCAGCGTGAGGAACGCGCGTAAGTGCTTTCCTGTAAAAGTGACTGACTGTTCGCCAAAAGGTGAACATTCCCGACGTTTAGGTACAAGGAGCAGGAACTGTGTCTTGATGTTTTTTTGGCATACTTCGCCGTCCTATCTTGGGGTATATTCTGTGTTCAGGGCTCATGTCCAATAATCGACAAAATAGTTCTTCAACCTTAATTTAAAGCGTGTTTAGATGCTAGCTCTACCAAGACTCCTGTAGTAGGTAACAAGCACAGACCCACATGCTACAACTTCTCAATTCAGAGAAATTAGATGTTGCTATCTGTCCAAAATGTTCAATGCACCATTGGAGTCACAACTGTTCGCATTAGTCAAAGAAACTTACACAGTAGGTTTACATCGGGGCTATTTGGTATCGCGTATCGAATATTCCTTCATCAACCGACTCCTCACATCAGGGCTGGTTCGAATCATAGTATGTCCTGAATTTAACGATTCTCCCAACAAGGATTCGTACGTTAGTAATAAAATCCTACCTATGATTTTAACGAGTAGATAATGTAAGTTGCAAAAACAAAATATACGGAGCCTTTTGCAGTAGATTGCTGACTATGTTCCGCGGGTGAAGAGATACAGTTGGGCGTTTCTAGGAAAATTTTAAATTGCTGCAATCTTGCTTTTCTGACTTTTTCCTAACCACGAACTTTCCCGTTAGGCAGCACTGGTAACGCCCAGAGGGTTTTAAGCACTCGACAAATATCACCAACAGAAATGGATTCGAGCGTTAATTTTTATTTGATTGTACTCGTCAATCAGATTCCGAAATACTTAAGCTTTAGAGGTTGGCCAATCCTGTCGCCAAGTTTGATCGGTGAAGCCCATCCCAGTGTGCAATTTTCCCTGTTTATTTTCGCCAAATGAATTTTCTTAGTTAAGAATTAAGGGAATTTTTTAAAGTGTTTAAAAACTGCCTGACTGTTTATTTCGCCATAACATTCTCGTGGTACCTGGAAGAAAGCACATTCTTACTGGGACTAATATCCTTCGCTTCAAAAGTCGATTGAGAAATAACTGCTACTTATTGCAAGTATATACTATATCAAGTTGCATAATTCACTCTACAACTGCCCGCTAAACCCCAGACATGCGTTTTGACGACAAAATGCTACTGCATGAAACAGTTACTAGAACGTTGACTCATGAGTGGATCCTGCAGCGTTTCTCCTGTATCTTCTGGTGGATATTCAAGTTTTTAATCGCGTCCGAAACGCATGCGTTAAACTGTAGCAAGTGCTTCGGAACCAAGCTTATGGGCTCATTCCGAAAGTTGAAATAAGTCTTTGAGCCGAAATCTATTTGTTTTATTACGAAGCCTTAATTGATCGCAAAAATGAACCTACGGATAAAGAACCCTAGTGAGAAACTGGACACTGCTAGTCGGGTGGTGGAGGCGAGCGGCAGGGTTTTGCTAACTTGCTTTGTAAGTTACATGGCGTCCTATTATCGATAAATGAATTAATGTTTGGATTGACTGCAATTCCCGCGGCTCTTTAGAAGTATACTTCCCTACGGAAAAAGCGATGTAATTGTTAACAGCTACCGCAACTCCTCTAGTCTGACACACCTCAGCGCTAAATTTATAATCAGTTTGTTCGAAATCTTAAATTTTAGGCGTTTTCACATGTTACTTAATGAGATTAGCCATCAACTGGTATTTGGCTTATATGAAGAACAGTGGGACATTTTTGGCTGACCAAACCGATTGTGTGAGTTCGTTGCCATTTTTAGGGAATTTCTTATTCAAGGCTAGCGTGAATTTTATTTGCAGACCAAAACATCTCTTCTTTCAAGGGGTTTTCATTTATCTAAATGTTCATTTCTCTTTTGCTCTTGTGTTTGTACAATCATGAACGAAGTTTTCTTAGCTACATTTAGGATCCGGTCGACGATTGAAAGGGATAAAAACTGCAACAATTCATTTTATACAAGAGTAAGATTGCTTTATATCTGAATATAAGATTTGTATGTAGGGGGCTCGATATTTTTTGAACATTTTCTGACAAAATAGCTCATTCGGGTATGTCAAGAGGAACTATTCCCAGAAATCAACATCAATTATCGCATGGAAACGAGCATTAAACTAATTAAATCCATATAAATGAATGAAAATTTATATGATCCGCATGAAAAGGCTGATGACCTCATAAAAATAGTTTTTTCGGCTAAGATAGTGATACTGAAGCAACTTTTAATGTCAAGATACGCATATATAAAATTTAGTTCGCCTTGCCATTATATAGTACCTGTTTTTTAACTGTGGAGAATGGTTTCTCGTGTCCTTAAATGAAAAAAATTCGTTTGTATGTATTAACAAGAATGGACATGCTATGAATCCTAACAAGTCCTCTCAATTTAACTTCCGCTAATAAAAAGATGCAAGCATCCCTATTCTAGCTTTGCAAGCGAAGTCTACGCCGTTTTTAATAGATAAGTGTGACTTACGTTGTGCTCATTGGACGCTACAGGCACTAGCCTGTCACCAACAGAAAAATGTTCAGTCAATTAGATCGTGTTTTCACAACACTCAGCGACCGACTATGCGTCCCAGAGTGGTCCGAACCGAACTTCCACTAGTTCCTTATTTATTATTTTGCTGTTGCCTTCGGGCGGAGGTGTGCAGTCGTTAGGCTAAACAATGCCGAACCTGTGTGTGAGCCAAAGAAATAACACTTGTACTTGCGTAGTCTTGGTTACTAAAGACCAATCACAAAAGAAAAGTGTCTCTTCGAGATACCAAATTTCGTACATCGGATAGTGAATCATCCCAGTTCCGTTTGAAACCAAGTATCGTCAGAACCTCCATCGAGCACATGGTGCTTCCCTTCAGATGTCGTTCATTATCAAACTTTACCACGATACCGTAAAAGATAAATTAAGGGTTCGGCATGACCACAATCAAAGTTAGGTGATAAACATAAGCATCCGATTCTAGAGGAAGGTAGTGTCGATTTGGTCATCCAACCGTTTTTGTGTTCTTTGAAATATAGGCAAAAGTAGCTTATGTAGCCCCACTCATATACCTCTAGTCCCAGCATTT